GGACGATAATTATTTGGACGATAATTATTTGCACGATAATTATTTTGACGATAATTATTTGGACGGTAATTATTTGGACGGTAATTATTTGGACGGTAATTATTTGGACGGTAATTATTTGGACGGTAATTATTTGCAGGACGAGGAATAAATCCATTGTTATATCCATTACATCCAGGATTATTACATCCGTTATTTTGTCCGTTGCCCCCAAATTTATTATTATATCCATTACCATTATACCTAAGATTATTGTTATATCCATTGCTCCCAAGATTATTAAATCGATTGCTCCCACGATTATTATAACCATTGCTCCCAAGATTATTATATCTATTGCTCCCACGATTATTATATCCATTGCCCCCAAGATTATTATATCCATTGCCCCCAAGATTATTATATCCATTGCCCCCAAGAACACCATCACATGAACGTGAACGTGATGGTGTTGGTGGTTCCCATTGCTGTTGTTGTTGTTGTTGGGGTGGTAATTGATTATCATTTATTCTTGACATAGTGATTGTTGGAATAAGTTGAAATATATGGATCAAATTTGAATATGAATATTATTCACAAATAATTTGATGCCTGATAAAAAATTAAGCGTAAATTGATGACCTAACAGATCCACTTGAATATCTAAGAAACAAATAGATCTGCTACTTTCAACTTTTACTTTTCAGTAAACAATCTTTTTGTCAAAATAAATTTATATTTTTTGTTTTGTAAATCTTAATAATTGTGCTTATGAAATTTAATAAATAAATGCAGAATTAAGCTTCGCCGACGCGTTTCGTGTTTTTATTTATAAATAATTACACTCATCAGGGCTCTGCATAAAAACCATTTTTTAAGCACACAGAAAATAGAAATAGAAAATGAAACAAAATAAGAAAAATTGAAAAAAATGAAAAGAAAAAAAGTAAGTAACAATAATCGATTAATAACCTTCTTATATATAAAGAAGATTATGTGAAAAAATAGTTCTTTATTGAGAATGAGTTGGGGCAATTGGACATATAAGTTGATATAAGTATGTCGTTCGTTCAGGGGGTCTTGATTCGTAGATCGAGTTCCAGAAATGTATATATAATAATAATAAAATAATGATAGTAATAACTTAGAATGATTATTCGATGAATTGTAAATATAATAAAGGAACAATATATAAATGATATAGTTTTATAATATCTAAGTTAAAAATATAAATATAATTCGTTTTAAGCTAACAATACGAAAGTAATGTTGCGCTTAAATATTAGAATATCTTATATAATATGATTGAGTTACTAATGATAGAAAAAGAATTATATATGAGAGAATTTTCGAATATTAATAAATAATTTAAGAATTTGATATCAATCGATAGTTTAATCGAAACTATTGAATATCAATCTTAAAATATCAGTAATTTTGCTAAGTTATATGTGGCATTAATTAATAGAAGGATAAACAAAGGTAATAATGTTAAAAGAATAATAAATGTGATAAATGTAAACGACTTGAATACGATAATACTAATCGTGAGTACGATTTTTATGGAGTTAAACATATATATTACTAATGATTTACAATGGACCGAATCAATAAAATAGTATTCATTATATAATGATTGAAGATGTAAGTCCTAAATTGTTTTTTGTCGAAAATTATTATTTTTCTTTGAAAATATAAGTGAGTTCCACAAAATAACTGGATAGGTCAAAGATAAAGAAAAATTATTTTATTCATGTCATAGTTAATTCTAGTATTATTCCATGAGATAAAATTGAAATATATGGAAAATAGTCGTAAGATAAATAAAAAGCTCTTTCTAATATTTTTAATATTCATAATTATAAACACAGAATTTTTAATAATAAAATACGAATAATGAAAATATTCGTATCGTTAATTTAAAAACAATGTTATAACGATGAATAGTCTCATTATATTTTAACACCATTATCATATTGAAATAAGTTCATAATATTATAACTATGAGTAAATATATTTTATGAACGTTTGAGTATCATCAGATTTAATAAAGTATTTAATCATAATCGACGCGTATTTACTAGTCTACGTTGTAGATTTTCAACATTACGGGTTCCGAGGATTGGAGATATATCATTGATTGGGGATTCGCCAAAATATTTTTGCCACAATACATGGAACTTTTTCGGAAATGTTCTCATATTTGAACAATAAGTAAAATGAATAAACATTTTAGTACTGTAATCTATTGGCGTTTTTTCTTTATATGGAATATTAATTACTCTTTGGCGTATAGTATCATAATTATTTATTGTTAATATTTCATTGATATTAAATTTTTTCAGTACATTGTTAAATTGTTGATCGATAAATTGACCGGGATATTTATTTAATAATAATGCCATTCTTAGTTTACCACGTTCTTCTAAATAAGATTGCAATGTTGAACAATATCTTAAGGCACGAAGCATCATGGTAAAAACAATATTTTTCTTCATATGTAAAGGATGTATACTGTTGAATGGCAAGTAGTATGGTTCATATGATGGCTTGTGATAAACAGAAGTAAATAATTTGCCATTTTGATTTTCAATATGAACATCTAAGAAATCGGTTTGATTACTTATATTCGCTGTTAATTTTATATTCATATCAAATTCATTCCAACGATCAATTTGTTTAGTTAAATGACGATTTGGCCAATTAATAGCAATAAAAATATCATCAATATAACGTACATATAGGCCATAACTGTTATTGATTTGTTTAATAATATTTTGTTCGAAAAAATACATGTAACAATTGGCTATAGTTAATGTTAAAGGAGAACCCATGGCTCCGCCTCTAATTTGATGATAAAATTGACCGTCATATTTAAAATAATTATTTTTCATAACGAATCTTGCTAATCTTATAATAGCTTCAATTTTTAAACCATTAATTTGTTTTAAATTAAAATGGTCCAGCATTCTTTTAAGTGATAATACTCCTTCGACTTGTGGAATCATTGTATATAGGTCAGCAACATCAATAGTACATAGTAAAGTTTCTTGTTTCATATTATAAATCGACCATAATTGTAATTTTTTAATTAATTCAAAACCACATATAACAGTAGTATTGATGGCCATTTTATCAAATAATGGTCGTAAAAGATCATCAAGAAACTTGGAAATTTTTATTGTAGGATGTTTAAGACCTGCAATGATGGGTCGTAAAGGAGTATGGGGCTTATGAGCTTTTGGTAAGTAATAGAGATGAGCTAATTCGACTTCATCTTGTTTAATACAAAGTTGCTCATAATGTTTTTGTGTTATCCATTTAGCAAGACGTAAATCTAATAGATATTTATTGGTACGTTGTATAAGATTAGGTAAGGGATCATCAGTACCAAGACATTGATAAGCATTTGTTTTATTCATATATTCTATTGACTTAGTTCGATAATCATCAAGTTTACCTAGATGAAAAACCTTAGACTTATCAGTCTTACGTATTATTGTATTTGTTAATCGAAATTTATGTTTTAATCTTTTTATTAGTCGATGATAATTCATTTTCTTTTTAAGTGATCGATGATTAATTTGAGGTTGACTTGAAATGAAAATATCATTAGAAATATTTCGATTATTAATTTGAGATTGACTTGAATTAGAACTATTATTTGAAGTATTGAATTGATGATGATGTGTAGTAGTAGTAGTAGTAGTAGAAGTATTATGAAGATTTTGAAGAAGAATATCTAATTCATTAATAAATTTTTGAACAGGACGACCTGGCTTAACTTTTTTCTCGTAAAAACGAGCTTCAATTTTTCTTTGAAGTGTAGCCAATTCAGTTATTCGTCGTCGTGATGCTGTTTGTGGGTCATTAAATATAAATCGAGGACCCAAATTTAATAGATAATATTCTTCTTTAGTTAATTTAATTTGAGGTACTTGATTAATTATATTTGGACCGATAGTGCTGTGTCCAATGATCGAACAAGGTTTCGGTAATTTATTTCTTGATTCGACCTGTTTTCTTGTTCGGCCCGTTGTACCTCTAAAAAATAAAGTGATTGTTCAATTTCTAATTTTAAACGCTTTTCACGTAATTCATGGTATTTTATATATGCTTCATTAGCTGCTTCAGTTTCACTTTGGCTTTGAATATTACCAAGTTGATTATCATTATCATCATCATTTATTGTAATTATCTGACTTAAAAAGTGTTTGTTTGTAAAATTTTCAAGTAATCGATCAATATCACTTTTAATTAATTCACTTTCTTGAGCAGCTGTTTCAACATATAATGTCATTGCATCTGTTTGATATTTATTTGTAATTTCACGCATTTTATTATAAGTTGCTTGTGCATCTTGTGAATTAATGATCGATTCATCAATTTTAAATGAAAAATTCAAATTTGTAATAAATTTTGGAAGTAATTTATATTCAACACGTTTTTGTGCAGTAGCATAATTTTTATTTTTAATATGCCATGTCTTTATTTTTTGTTTCATTACTAAATGTGTACTAAATTGTGTTGGATTAGCTATTAAACGAAATTCTTCAAATGCTTTATATTCATTCATTTGTGCTATAGCTAATTCTGTACGTGATTCACACATTTTTTTAACATGCTGAATACAATGTTTAATATAATTTGCTATTAAGTTTTCAACTTTTTTGATATCATTTTCAACATCTTTTTGATTAACCATTGTAGCTGAATTATTAGTATCCGATGTAGTAGCATTGTTATCGGGTATTGTTTCTGTTTGTTTATTAATAGCAGCTTGTTTATTAGCAGCAGCTTGTTTAGCAGCAGCTTGTTGTAACTTATCTGATCTTACTTTGGTCCAATAATTATTTAAATTTGTTTTTAAAAAACTAATTTCGGTACATGCTTTATTGATAATAGAATCGAATTGTTCAATTTTCTTTTCGACAAATGATGTATTTCGTACATCATCACGTGTTTTTGTTCGACGAACAACTTCTTTTGCCCAATAATTCTTTATAGTACCTAATTTTAAATAATTATTCCATAGTTGTTTTTCATAATCTGCTCTTATTAATTCATCATAAAAGTGTGCAGATTTAAAAATATAAGCTTGATTACCACTACTGTCAAGTATTTGTTTTACTGCTTCATTGTTTGAGTACGAAGCAAATATTCGATTTTCGTTAAGATAAGTTCTTTTAACATTTTTATTTCTCTTTTGTGTTCTTTTCTTATTATTATTACGTGTATTTATTGGTAATATTTCATTATTATCATTATTATCAACATTTGATTCAACATCAGTTGCATCATCTTCAGCAAGAGCAGCATAACGATTATTACTAATAAGATTATCTTGGTAATTTGATTGCTGATTACGACGTTGTCGACGTCTATATGTTGATGTTGTTTGTTCATTCCGTTGATTTTGTCGATATTGTTGATTTTGTTGATTTTGATTATCATTTGTATTATAGACCGTAAATGGTTGAGTATTATTATTATTATTATTATTATTATCTGTTGTTGTTGTTGTTGCTGTAAATTGTTGCCGTTGTGGTAACGCATTTATTGTCGCAATATCATCAACCATTGCATTATTAGCTAATTGAGTACCAAGATTTTCATAATTTTGTGGAATAAAATTACCCAATACTCTTGGTCTTGGTCCGTTTCTTTGTCGTTGATTATAACGATTTCTATATCGACTATTTGATCGATTTCTATATCTAATATTTGATCGATTTCTATATCTACTATTTGATCGATAAAATCTTCTTGGTTGATAATTATTACGATTGTATTGTTGTCGTCGATAATTTGAATTATAATAAGTATTTCGATGATTTGAATGATAATTATTTGGACGATAATTATTTGGACGATAATTATTTGGACGATAATTATTTGCACGATAATTATTTTGACGATAATTATTTGGACGGTAATTATTTGGACGGTAATTATTTGGACGGTAATTATTTGGACGGTAATTATTTG